CTGGTCACTCCATCTGGTCACTCCATCTGGTCACTCCATCTGGTCACCCCATCTGGTCACTCCATCTGGTCACTCCATCTGGTCACTCCATCTGGTCACTCCATCTGGTCACCCCATCTGGTCACCCCATCTGGTCACCCATCTGGTCACCCCATCTGGTCACCCAGCCAGGAGATCAACGGACTTCTCAGGCCTGGCGCAGATCTGCTCCAGGTGACCGGAACGGATAATTTTCAACGGCACATTATTACGCCAAGTGACTGCAAACTGTGAACAGACATAGCAGGAGCGCCATATGGCTTCTAGTACAAGATAACTTGTCATGTTGTATATTTGTAGTTGTAGTAATAGTACAGTTGCAGCTCAGGGTAGCTGTGACAAGATTCTTTGTTTTGGAAAATGGAGGGCCGCTTGAGGGAAATGAGGAGACAAGTCTCTCTGACATAGACTTGGGACCTTCACAAATGTTTCTGATGTGTCAGAGCGCTTTCTTTTCGCTTTGTGTGAGATGTTTGCACTTCCTTTGTTTTGTCTGTGATGTTTGCACTTCCGTTTGTTATGATGTCTGTGATGTTTGCACTTCCTTACTTTTGTCTGTGATGTTTGTACTTCCTTACTTTTGTCTGTGATGTTTGCAATTCCTTACTTTTGTCTGTGATGTTTGCAATTCCTTACTTTTGTCTGTAATGTTTGCCATTCCTTACTTTTGTCTGTGATGTTTGCCATTCCTTTCGTCTCCCATAAAGTGTAAAGTAATCTGGCCATATGTAAAAAGCACACTACCTGCCCCTGTTGCAATCTCTTCGTGCGTCCATCGTGACGGTGCTGGCTCAGGAGACTGTTTGTTTCTCTTTCCTCAGTGCGGAAGAAAGTCCTGGATGCTGTGCCTCATTTTCCCATGGGTGAAGAGAACGTTGGCTGCAGGATGAGTTTTGAACCTTATTACATCAATTTTCATGATGTTTTGTTTCAAGACTTGGGACTTGGAAAAGAAGTACCCCCATATGTGGAGGAGAGTGGTATGGTCCCTTCTTTGGTTGAAAATGTGGACCCAGAGAAAGATGTCGATGGTTTGTCAACTCACGCTCCGGCACCAGATGCATGTCGTGCGGAATGGGATGGAAGGGGCAACGATATTTATGAGGACAAGGGCAACGATATACAGCTGGACGTCCTAACTTGGAATGAAGAAGTTACCGTAGCTCATGCTTCTACAGAAGAAAATGACCAAAATGATGATGATGTTCACCATCAGAGAGTGAACGTAGAACATAACGATAGAGATGTTCACCATCAGAGAGTGAACGTAGAACATAACGATGGAGATGTTCACCATGTGAACGTAGAACATAACGATGGAGATGTTCACCATCAGAGAGCGAACGTAGCCCACGAAGATGGCTCTCATGACGTGACCAGTCCCCACGACCATACCTCAGCTGTGCCGTCCGCTGTGCGAGGTGACACTGGCCAAACGTGGGCAGTTTCTGTAGAGGGCACGAGTGTTCGAAAAGAGACGGGTGATAAAAGAGTCCCAACCTCAAGACCGTCTACCGCTAGGTCGAGAAAGTCGAGCTTTTCTCTCGGTCATTTCTCAAGGGAGGTTACAGTTGTGGGAATAAAAACACAGCAAGGTAACGACGGCAGCCTGCAGAGACAAACTGGCCTGAGGAGCGACACGTTCCAAGGTTGTGGTCGGCGAGGGCTGCTGTACCGATCCCTGGCCACTCCACTCGACTGCCGTCAGCTCGCTGAAGAGCAGACATCTCTGGAGAGGAAGCTGCTTGCTCGGGAAAAGGAAAAGGAGCAACTGAATCAAATTCCTGAATGCTGTAATCTGTCCAAGGAATTTGCTCTGCCCAAACTTCACATGAAAGTTCTTGAAAGGAAATGTAAGTCGACCAAGGAATGCTCGATGCATTTTGATTCTGACAATAGAAAAGTTGTGCTTGTTGGAACTCCCGAAGGAGTCCAAAAATGTGAACGGGAATTGGATGAAAGGAAAGAGAATATTGAAGAACGATTTGTCCAGCTCTCACCAAACATGTCACAAATCTTGAGGCAAGAGATGGGCAAAGCTTTTCTGAATGAACATTTGGCCGAGCTGTGCTGGGAGTTGAGAGAGTACGCGTTGTACGTGGCTGAGGACGACAAACACAGATTAGACGCCGCTGTGGCATCGCTCAAGGACCGGCTCCATCACCGACTGGTGGAGAAATACATCGGGGACATTCCTGGCCAAACGCAGAATGTGATTGCTTCTCAGGTTCAAGCATTGTTCAAGCTGCTGGTTGTTGTTGAACCACGTCATCATTCGTTCATTATTGAAGGGGTGAAAGATGATGTGGAAATGGCAAGAATTAGGCTGACAGATTTGTTAAGGGAACATGCCTTGTTTGAAAGAACGTTTGAGGTAGAAGGAGAAAAAGCAGAATATTTTGATACTTTCCTGCGGAACCAAGTGATGAAAGTTCCCTCTGATGTCCAAGCCTTTGAGCCGGTGTATGATCGTGGGACATTCCGTGTCAAATACAAGGGAAAACTGGACAATGTGAGGCAAGTACTGCAAGAACGGAGGATTCTGGAAGAAAGGGTCACCGTGAGAAAGTTTAGCATTGGTAAAGAGTTCAGCAAAAGAAAGGAAGATGTGCCTTTGATCTTAGCGCACTTAGATGATGACGACTTTCGGAGCATTTTAAAAACACTCGAGCGAAAGCACAGAAGTATCTTAAAGTGTGAGAAAAAGTTCCAGTCTCAAAGATTGGAGGAGAACGTGGAACAAGCTGAGAGAAAAGATGCTCCTGCCTTGACAGGGACAAGTCTAGTGGCTCAGGCTGGAGACAACTGTGAGGTCCTCATCAAGGCACACGGGAACATCTTGAAAGAGCAGTCGGACGTTCTGGTGTGTGTCGAGGGAGAGAACTTTGACATGAGCAAAACGACCGTCGCGCAGGCGTTTCGGAAAGTTTCTCCTCTGATGGAAGGAGAGCTTCACAGTGCCCGAAATGCCCGGGACGCAGCGTCCTCTGACGTGATTGTCACCCAAAATACCTGTGATGACCTTCCGTGTCGGGCGGTTGTGCATGTGGCCTTAACACGCTGGAATCAGGACACTTCCCCGCGCCACTTTGCTCAGGTCCTACAACAGGCCCTGCGCGTCTCTGGCACTCCTGAAGTCACGTCGATCGCTTTCCCTCCTATGGGCTGTGGACGAGCCTTCAGCTTCCCGCCGGCTCAAGAAGCCAGGATAGTTCTTGCTACCATGAAGGAAGTCCTACGTGGCACGGACGTGAAGTCTTTGACAAGAATCAGTCTGATGGCGTCCAACCGACAGCTCTACAGTGAATATAAACGATTAATCACTGATTTTTTCCCACTAAAATCTACTTCTCATGAGGAAAATGTGAAACAAGAAAGGTCGAACAAAGAGAATTCCTGGCTGTTTGAGTGCACTGACGGCCTCACAGATGCTGAAATAACTGTTTTGTTGCAGGGACAAAGGAGCAATGTCTTGGTGACTCATCTCAAACAAAAGATTCAGGAAATATTTCTTCACGTAGAACAGTTCAATGACAAGCTCATGGAGGATTGGCCCACCTGTACTCTGGACAACATTTCTGCAGAAGCCAGCAGAGCAAAAGTGTGGCTGTCAAGGCCGTCCTTCAAAACATCGTGCTTTCTGTTGAAAGGAAAGAAGAAATCAGTCACGGAAGTGCTGGTGTTCATCAAAGCCCAGTCAAGACGACTGGCCGTTCATCTACCACGGAGGAGAATACAGGATGCACCCAACAGGGACACTACGGAGTTTGTCTCGTACGCTTTGAGTTGCGATGAATTATTTCCATCTTACTGGTCGCTGAACTCACCAGCTAAAGTGTTGGAAATAAAGGAAAGTTATGACCCGGATTTGCACGAGAAGATAGTGGATGTGGATCAACAAACCTTTGACTGTATCGCCAAGCTCGTGGCCGACACGTGGGATGCGACGCGTTTTGGAATCGGAAGTGATGCCAAAAGGTTGAAAGAACTGAACTGCAGTCAGTTGCGAGTATTGAAAGTCCAGCGAATTGAAAACCCTGCTTTGTTTGACAGATACCACTTGCACAGGATTGAAATTCTTCGAAGAACTGAAAAAAATGGGCAGCTGTACCCGAAGCTAGAGAGTGTGTCCCCATTCCAGACACAGCCGGAAACAATGCGGTTGGACCAATTCCTGGCGAAAGAGTTGCTGCGGGAGATCAACGAACACTACTTTTTCCACGGGACCCACGCAGGCACGGCGGGGGCTGTGGCCAAGCAAGGTCTGGACCCTCGTATCGCGAACCCTGGCGCCATGGCTGGGAGAGGAGTCTACTTGGCTGAGAAATCCACCAAATCTGACCAGTACGCTGGTAAGGCAATGCTTGT